TGAACCGATAAGCATACGGGGCACGTTCCTCCGGAGATAATGCCGGCAATAAGTTCGGTGCGAATATATACAAAACCTTGCATTATCTGGTTTCGAACAGACAAACGTTTAATGGACATGTACACACAGATTTCAAAATGTTTGTTGCAGACGTTTAATTCATGCAGATCGCGCTGCTCGGATGCATAAACGCTGCAACACGAACGAATTTATTTCACCCAAAATCCCGTGATTCAGCGGCGTTAATAGTTTAGCTATTAGTTTGTTCACTAGCTCTCTCTCACACACTCATTCTCTATATATCTACTTTTTTTTTTCAATTACAACGGCCATTACGCGATAATGTTTCGCCAGGAACGCAATTACATTGAATTATGTTTATTAATTTCGCATTTACAATTATTCATTTTCATAATTTGAGCACGGAATCGCGCTTTTATTACAAATAAATTAGTTCGGGCAATAGACAATCCCAGAATTCAATTATATTATATCATGTCTTTAGGTTAAGTTACATAAGTTAAGTAGATCAGGACGAGAGAGAGACGTTACGATGTGATATTTCAGGTTATATGTATTACCTTACGGTGGCAATCGCAAGCCCGATAACCGAAATCCCGTCTATCGAAATCCCGACGTTCAAAATCCCGAGTGTATTGAAATTCCGACTATATCGAAATCCCGACTACCATAATCCCGACAATTAAAATCCTGACTATATCGAAATCCGGACAATCTAAAACTTAATAAGATTATTAATTGTTGTTATTTATTGCTAATAACATAAACTAATTTTATTATATAATATTTCTTATTCTTAAGTTTTATAATGAATAAGTCAACGAAAAAAAAAACAATAATAATTAATATTATTTATTGTTATTAAGAATAAATAACAACAATTAATAATCGGGTAAAAGAGCCATCGACCTAAGTCTTTAAAATATTTTTTTCAGTATTCGTCGTACCTATTAAAATATAGTACAATAATATAAAATGTTATTGTAGAAATTATAATAATAAAAAACACTGTCGGGATTTCGATTGTCGGGATTATGGTAGTCGAGATTTCGATATATTCGGGATTTCGATATAGTCGGTATTTTGATTGTCGGGATTATGGTAGTCAGGATTTTGATACACTCGGGATTTCGAACGTCGGGCTTTCAATAGACGGTCTTTCGGTTGTCGGGCTTGCGATATAGACCCATTATAAGATCAGTATGATGTGTACAATCAAATTTCTCAATTTTATAATGAAATATCAGAAATCTCATAACCTAAAAATCTTTAACAATTATTAGTTAATGAAAGTTTAGGTAACAACGAATTATATTCTTTTTTTTTATGATTTTAACCAATTTTCAGGTCAATTTAATAAATAGTATTAACATTAGTTTACGTTAATTAATATATATTCAAGATACTATAGATTAATGTAAGATTAATTTAATTTTCATTAGAGGTCACAATTAGTTTTATTCATTTACAAAATAATATAATTTTATAATATAATTTTGATTTGGGTTCGACACATAACTCTGTATTTCCATTCATGGGTTTGCAAACACTATAGATTAGTTTACAAGTGATTAAACGTAAGCAAATTGTGAAGATCCAATATATTTATGTAATATATAGATGACGAACTATTAGAAGAATGTAATTAATTAAGACCTAGTTTGTTAACAATAATTTATAACCAATTAAACGAAAGTATCAACTTTCATATTATGTTATAATGAGTATATAAGATTATAGAACAGTCAATATTTCTTTTAAGATTGAATAGTAATATGTGTTACATACGTATATACATTTTTATATATTATCTTTATATAGAAGAACAATAAGTAAATTAGTGGTACAAATGTCATGAACTCAAATGTAAACATCTGAAAATTTTTAATTATTTAAGCTAAATAACGTTTAAATTCGCTTAATAGTTCGAAAATCAGATCAGGCGGTGTAGCATCGAATGGGTAATAGAAATAGGGCATTATTATTAGACCTCCACACTTCTCGCTTAGCCTTTGTCTGTGTTAAATTTTACCAGTTTTCGCAAAATGATCAAGTAGTTCTTCAATTACAGTTTAGAAAGTCTCAGTAACGCAAAGGTAAGACAATTCGAGTCAGAGTTCCGACGACTCCGATGACAAATGGGAATAGGAAGAACTTGGTTTAGGTCGTAGATAATGAAGATATGGATAGTGGAGTTTTTATTTTTTCTTACAAAAGACGTCGGAAAGATTACGGAAGAATTTGGCCACATATAATTAAGATTAAAAGATTAAGATTAATGATACATAAAACAAATGGATACGAATTGATATTTGCGTGGACGTAGCAAAAAGTTCAAAAGCTTTTAAATGTGATCTAGGAATAAAAAAGAAGTGGATGCAAATAAAAACTCTCAAAACTTTTTAAAATTGCTACGTGAAAAAGATAGGTTTTGCATCAAGCCAACTGTTGGTAAATATAAAAGACTGTTTAATGGAAGGAGGGCTAAAAATTTAATTATGCAACGAAAGAACAAACAAGCAGGAGATTAAATATTTTTATACTTTTTCATTTGCAATTCAATTTTGCATCCGTTCAATTCCATCGGTGTTTGCTTTAAACGCGTAAATTTTAGATACACGATGGGTCATGAATTTTTGCCGATGTACGGATTCGCATACAGAACAAAAAAATAGTGATTGTAAATCGAATAGGTGCGAGGCAATTTCGCTAAAAATGAGAGGAAAAAATGCGCAAATGTGCGGAACGCATATAAATATTCGGGGGGTGGAAATTAATAGAACATTGCCTACAAATTGACACTGGTTTAATTTTGCTTCCAATTTCAATGCGACGCAATACAAAAAAAACAGTTCTATTTATGGGGTAAAAAATAAAATAGTTCTAATGTAGCAATTATTAATTGTTTTAGCTCTGGGAATTAACAAGTTCTATATATGTTGCTTAATAATTATTATTTGCTTAACTTTTGTCATTGCTTTACTTTTGTTGTTTAACTTTTGCAATTTGTCAGTCAATGTTTTACTAAATATCAAGTTCTTTACTATAATGAGCTTATGACTGTAGAAAATATTTTTCTAGAGATTTGTTAATTTTTTTCTGTCCGTGAAATGATCTACTCTATATATAACTATTCATTCAAGTATTACTTAGTGCATATTTACATTGCATAATTCTACTTAGAATAAGCCTGATTACATTTACGTTTCTATTTTCATTGTTTAACTATAATACAAGTTACCAATTATCCAAATATTTAAATCTGTAGAGTTAAATTCAAGTGAAATCCAAGATTAACGTTGCTTAACTTTTAACAAATCCGCAATCATCCAGTGACTTATTATTAATCACATGTTTTGGTTAGTTTTCATCAAACTTTGAGATCTTTTTGCATAATTAATTGACCATAACCAACCGGTCTTGTTAAAACTTTTTGAGAAGCAACTGCTACGCCGATTACGACACTGGCTACTTGAAAATCATGTCATACCTGACCACCAGTTCAGTTTCCGAGAACGTCACGGTACTGTGGAGCAGGTACATCGTGTAGTGGACGAGATTAGCAGAAGTCTTGAGGAGAGGAGATACTGTTCCGCTGCTTTTCTGGACATATCTCAGGCTTTTGATAGGGCTGCTATACAAAATTAAGAAGTTTTCCCCACGTATACTATTCCATCTTTAAATCATACTTAACGGGGAGGCACTTTCAGGTCAAACTGGCTAAAAAAGTGGAGAATTATAGCCAACGAGGCTAAGTCGGTGCATGTGACGTTTACTATACGTCGACAGACCTGTCCTCCAGTCCTATTAAACGGATCCACTCTGCCTCAGGCAAATGAAACCAAGTACTTTGGCATGCACCTAGATCGACGCCTTACTTGGAAAACGCATATAGCAACCGAGAGAAAATGTCTCAATCTGAGGGCTAGGAAGCTGGAGTGGCTAATCGGAAGACACTGTTGCATATCAACAGAAAACAAAGTGCTCCTGTATAAAGCTATTCTAAAACCGATATGGACCTACGGCATTCAGCTTTGGGGATCTGCCTGTAACACCAGTATTGATATAATACAGAGATTCCATTCCAAAACACTGAGGAAAATTACCAATACTCCATGGTTCTTCGCAAACGATGACATCCATAAGCAAGCTAACATCAGTTTCGTCAAGGAAGAAATCGCAAAGGCTAGCACAAGATACCATAATCGGCTAGAGAATCACCCAAACCAACTGGTTACGGAGCTGATGCATACTGCATATCATCGTCGAAGACTGAAGAGGTGAAATTGTGAACAAATTATGTCACAAATAGACAAATACATGAAGATCTCCATATAGATCTGGTTGAGAATACAATAACAATGTTTAGTAGCAGATACGAAGATAGACTGGAATCTCAACAAATAGACTTTAGCGCTATAAACCACCAGATTTAGTACACAGATTTATTAATGTTCATAACCATAACAACAGTAAACATCCACCGGGAAAGTTTATCCAATTAATCTCATCCGAAATCAAATTTACTTAATGTTCACATTGTGAATAAAATGATTACGACATAACTATGAATGTAGTCATTAATTTATTTGATGTGCTTCGACAAATAAATTAATTATCCTCGTTCCATCTGTTTAATTGAGTGCGGTATTAATAGGATTATCGGATTTGCACTTCAAAATCGGACGAAAATTACTAAATCCAATTAAATAAAACAGACTGTTTGAAAAAAAAAATAAAAATGCATTAAGTCACGAAAAAAAAATGCATGAGGTTAATAATGACCGCAGTTTTTCCGTTTTTTTTTTTGGTAATTTATTATTAGATTATAAATTACCAAAAAAAAAAATTATGTTTCACCATTCTGTCTAGATAAGGTAATTGAACAGGAAAAAGTGGTTGGGTTAAACACAAAATTTGATATGTTCTTCATATAAATATTACAACAAAAAAAAATGAGTTGTTCAGTCTTAATTTTGTGTTAAGAAAATGAACTCGATTATAGTTTTCATTTACTTGTGTTTCTTTGTGCAATATTTGAATGGTATCACAATTGTTAGCCGAAAAAAAGAGAATGGTAAATTGGAATCGCATTGTGTTAAAACTGATGAAAGCGAAACATTAACTTGGCTGACGCCGTACGATGAATCGTTTTATAAATACAAAAGTGAGTGCGTTTCTGTTGCATTACATCAATATGTTAGCTAATATTTATTTCCAGGCAATAATTCAAGCAATCTTTCCAAGCCGCTAGGTTTGATCCCCGGTTGGAGAATCGATCAAGGTTATAAATATCTATTAGGCCCAATTCTCGATCACAGATGGCAATGTAAATTTTTGGGTAATTTAATTTGTTCAATTTAAATTTGATTTATTTTTTTTTAGATTTCGAAACTTTTATAAGTAAAGATAATAAAAATGTGAAGAAGAATTTATCGGAGATTTTGGATGACTTCTTTGAGTTCACGTTTTCGTTGAGATATAGACGTGATGCTGAAATGTCATTTTATTACAATAATCAATTGAAGCTAAGAATGTCATTTAGTAATGATAATGTAACGTCTGTTTTTTGTCCAGATCAGGCGATTAATTGTACTAACGAGAAGCTGATCCAAAATGTAAATAATATGGTGACCCGACAAAAGCGCGCAGTCACGATAGCGCGTAGGACAAATTCGCGCACTTAAATAAGCACGTTTAGTTTCGAGTACTTTGCTTTTGTATGTATTTTAAATATACATACAAACAATTCGTGATTTGGGTATTCCCATAGTGCCTCCAATGCCCTAGTACCTTAGGTTAGTAACAGGGTAGATTTTATATTTCAAAAATACAAATTCTCGTGCATTTGACGTGGTTGTTTGCTTTTGTTACTACGTGTTTTTGTCCTGATAGTATTTGTTTTGCGCGCTTTCGTCTGCGCGATGTTGTCTGCGCGCTTTCGTTACAATTTCTTAATTTCCTTTTTCAGAATTTGCAAAATTACAATGTCGATTCATGGAATCACTTCACTATAAGATATAATAAAAACAATGGAAGATACATTCTACTGCTGAATGGAAAATCTATACAGAATGAATATGTTCGTCATTTTGGATTAAGTAGTTTAGATATGAAATCGTTTGAAGGCGCATTGTGGAAACTGCACTCATGTAATTATTGATTAGAAAAATTATTGAAACAAATATTAATTAATTTATTTATTTTCAGATAATATTTGGGTAAAGGATGTCGTCGGAAAAAATGTTATCTTCTTGAACATTATTCCAGATTATAACAATAAGTTGTGCTTCTCCACTTATTTTTATTTTGTTAATGAAATAACTGTCGAAATAAGATTAGGTTCAACCATTATTAAGAATCAGAAGTTTAAAAATGAAAGAGTATTTTAATTTTTTTTTTCTATTAACCAAAATTTTACTAAATAAAAATACGCTTTTGTAGATCGGTTGGAAGTTCGTCAAAATGGAAGCAAACGTGCAAGATGCGACAAAAGTTTACTCGTTTCAGTTATTGAATTACCGACAGAACGAAGTTATTTTCAGCAATATGAAATATAATGCAGATTGCGAAACGAATATCAATCAAATTTCTATGGAATTTGATGTTGGGCAAATTGAACAGGTTTCGTGCGTATCTTTGAACAATCCGAATTCTTCTATTAGAATGGGCGAAAGTGTTGTTAATTCCAACAAAAGTAGTAAATTTTCAAATTAATTTATCGATTTCTTATTGTAATTTATTGATATTTTTTTTATAGGTAACGTTTGTTCAATCGATGAATTTGGAAACGATTGCATCAAATGTAAATCAGTTTTTAACACTGATGGTTGCGAGAATACGTTGATTTGTGCGGAGACAAACAAATGCTACTGTCAGCCTGGACACCAAGGAAAATATTGCGAAACAAGTGAATACAAAGCAAATACGTGAAACGTAATTTATTTATTCATTTATTTTAAGAATGCGATGATTTAAAGAAGAACGTTTTCGGATCCAATTGCGTCGATAAATGTGGAAATTGCAAGGACAATGAGCAATGCCATTATGTCACTGGACACTGTCCGAACGGATGCAAAAAATCTTACTTGGAGCCATTCTGTAATGAGAGACAATATTGCAAAGGTATTTATTACAATTAATTATAGTAGGTCATTAAGTATGAACCGTCCGATTTTGAGCGGAAAGTTTAATTTATTATATTTCAAACAAAAAGAAGTATAATTATCCTAAACTATCAATACAATTTTGCTTTCTTAACTAAGTAGCTTGTTAATACCAGCAGAGAAGAATCCTGAAGAGCGAGTGGTGATAAAATCGTAAAAATGCGTTTTTTACAGCTTGTTGGAAATTAAGTTTTTCACTGCAAGAAGTGATTCATACATGAAAACAATAGTAATCTGTTGGTGTAAGTTTGAGGAATTCAGTGGTTGACTGAGAATTGTCAAGTCCAGCTCTTGCAGTTTCAACAACGTTATTCGTGCGACTTGTCCTGCAAGAAGTTTGATCTGTCTTTATTCATCAATCTTAACTGCTTATTCCCAAGTTCCCTGATCATTTCGTAGATTTGTTTACAGAAGATATCTGCCATAATTGATTAGTCTATGAAGGTGTAGTAGAAAAAAAGTGGTGGACCAACCAGCAGACACAGTACACTTCTTTTGATCAATATTTAGTTTCACGCTGTGTTTTGGCCTATATTGTTATCCAATTATTATGCTTAACTAATCCATTTTTTTATCATATGGTGTAAAAATAAACATTTTGACACCAGAAAGTCGGAAAAGATTTAAGTCTTATTCTTGAAAATATGCTATGGAAAAATCAATTCATAAATATCTTCAAGAACAATAAGAAGTGACTTCGCCATGAAAAGAAAAATTTTATATGAAAGATCTCTAGACATTCTTCCCTTTTTAACATCCTTTTATTCTATATAGTTTTCCACGTTTCACAAAATTTAATATGGAAAAAGGCAATTTTATTTTACCTTACATTATAAAAATAACACATTTCATACTTACTTAATATTACTTTATACTTTTTTTTTCTAGATGTGAAAAGAGATGATGTCTTGGAAAACATAGTGAACGGAAAGATTACATTTCAATTTAAAGTACTTAAACAATGATTCTAAATGAAAATCTTAATACAATTATTAATTATTTCGTTTAAGGAAAGTGACGATGTTGAAAAATGTACCAATGATGATTATCTAATAAAAACATTGGATAAAAACAATAAGGAAACAAACGAATTTAATCCAAATTCGAATTACGTGATTGAATTTTGGAGAAATAACAAGTTTGTGTTCAAGTACAATATAACAACGGATGAACTAAGTTTGTTTTTTATCGATTTCAATGTATTTTGTAAACAGAATTTGTTGTTTTAGAGCTTGGATCAATTAACGAAGCGAAAACAAACTCAAACGTTACGTCTATTTATTTATCTTGGACGCCTCCAGATGAAGCGCTTGGAAATAATCTGAATTATTCCATCACCTATAGAGTACTAATGTTTCGTTAGAATTTATATTTTTTTTATACAGTATGTTTCAGCTCCAACCCACAGACGATTGTGTGGAAAGCTTAAAACATTTGACGAATCCGCAAACGGTTTACGTTCAAACTGAATTTGTTAATGTAACTAACTTAAGGCCACATTCGACGTACGTTTTCGAAGTGCAAGCTTTTAATAAATATGTGGGCGAAGTGAAGAGCATCATTGAAAAAACTAGTTCCAGAGGTTTGTATCTGTTTTAGGTATAATTTATAATTGTTAACATTTAATTTTAGAAATACCAAATCAAGAGAGTTATGTGATCCATAACATTTCGGTGACGGCTAATACAATGAGTGTCTATTTGCAAAAGAATTGCGAGCGTATCGAATCCGACGTTGCTTTCAGATTAAACTTACAATGTTTTGATAGTTGGTGTACAAATTTGACAAAAACCTATGGTTTCAATCAAAGTGTTTTGTCCATCGACGATTTGAAACCATTTACAAAATATACTGTATTAATCGAGATGGCAACGGAAATAAATTTTGAAAAAACTGTATCCATGCAACCGAAGCAAGTGAAAACGGAACCATCAGGTAGATATCGAAATATTATTACTATTAATACCAAGTAAATTGATGACGAATATATTCGTCATAAGTGCTACGCATGACGTATATATACGTCATAACCACTTAAGGGGTTAATAACTAATGAATGTTTCAGTTCCGAAGGAGTTAAGAGATATGGAGGTATATTCAATTTCTGATACCGGAATTTCGTTAGTATTTGACATACCTTATCCGCCTACTGGAATTTTAGAAGAAATCCAAATAAACGACGAAAAAATTACTTGGGAGTATTGCAGCATTTGGAAAAATCGATTTTGCTCTAAAATTAGTACAAGAATTTGTGACAAATTGACGGTATATATAATATTATTACTCAAATACACTAATTTATTAGCAAAAACTAATGTAATCATCAATTTCAGGTTAAATTAAAAAATATGAATGTACCTAATATTAAATCGTATTCAATTAACAGGGATTGTCAAGAAAAAGGTATATTTAATATAATTAATTAAACGTTTATATTTATTTACTATTTTGTCTTATAGAACCAGATTCACCGCAAAACTTGCAACAGAATTGGGACGAAGATTCCAATTTGATTTTAACTTGGGAACATCCGTTACGCATGAACGGCGAATTTGACAAATTTATAATTTCGTACGCAAATAAGACTGTGGATTTTGTAACGCAAGAGAATCTCAGATATAATCACAAGGTTGAAATTGAATTCCATTAATTTCATTTGAAAATATTTTATTTTTTCGTTTTTAGATTAGGGCAGAGGAGATTTGTTCGAGTGAGATTAATAATCTGATTTTAAAAGTTTCGACGAAGAATAAAAAGTATGATGCAAAAGGTACCGAAATTCATATAAATTGTCCCGTTGTACAATTTATGGATTCGACTGCAACAGACGATGACATTAACATTTTTGTTATAATTGTTGGAAATAATTTGTAAACTTTATTCAACTTATTATATACATAAATATATAAATTTAAATGGGGTTCTGTCAATATTCCGGACTAAACGAGGACTTTAAAACCATACTATTTAGTGAATCCGGACAATGCGATGAATTGCACTACGTATCTGTAAGTTTTTTTTGTGAATAGATTTGAAATCAACAAAAACTTATAAATATATTTTCATTTTGTATGACTGTTCGCTTGTTTGTAGATAAGTTTGTACTTTAAAATCTAATGTAAGGTAAACAAGGATTTTGTGAACAAATTAAATTAAAATACGATAGTTTTAAATAATAGTAATTAGGGCTCTTTTTGAGGAAATATTAACAGTAAGAAAAAAAAGATATATTTCCAATAATGTTTTTGTTGCGAAAATACATTAATTTTGAAGATAAGTCGTCGAGACGTTGTATCCATCTCGATGAAACGTACAAATGGCCTGTCGGCATGTGTATTTCGAAAACGCATAAAGGCATTCGTTTGGAATGGATCACTGCGAATTCACCAGTCGCAGAATGTCCATTACGTGTCTGGCATCGTCGACTTCGAAGTCTCGAACACTCTTTAATAATATCTAACATTTGCAGAGATGCATCAGAGAGTAATCATTCCATTTGCAAATTCCGCACAAATTCTATTAACATAATTAAATTTATTTTACTAACTTATAATATTTGTATTAATAAGCTTAATGTCAAAACGCGTTCAATTTGTTAAAGTAGTGGTAGGTTCACACTGTGCATAAATTGAATTATAAATGTATATTTGGAATTTCAATAAATACGTATAAAATATTTGATTATGCTGTCAATAAAGTTGGATGTCCTATTATGGTTAGTCATATGGTCATATTTCTCTTTGACAAGCACAATTCGATATCTGACGTATGACGTATGTCATATGTCATATGCAGTATGCTTTAGTTCAATACGATCTGCTTGCAGCTGTCAAATTATTTCTCGTCGCATATCCAATTAAGGTTAATATGACTGACTGTCACATTTATCTGTCAACACTGTTAAATCAATAATAGTTGGTACGTGTGTATAATGTATGTCATATGTAGTTAAATGTGATCTGTTTACAGCTGTCATATTATTGCACATCACATATGCAATTAAGAATTATATGACTGACTACCACGATTATCTATCAATTGTATGACGTATGTCATACGTAGGTAAATAGGATATGTTTGCATCTGTCAAATTATTTGTTATTAGATGACAAGACTTATTTAATATACAGTAATACCAACACGACCTGTTTGCATCTGTCAAAATATTTGTCATCTGACCAATTATAGTTGACTGATTGTCATTTAATGACATGAAGAGGAATTATGCCATTAATAAAATGTGTTAATTAATATTCATAACTGCGTATGTGATAATGATCTTGAGAAAGAAATGGTAGTGTCGGAAGTGGATGGTGCCATTAAAATCGCCGGCGCAGCTTTTATGGCACTACTTTGTATGTTAATGGAGGTCTGCGGAATTTACGGCGCATGAATTTTCCCAGCGGAGGAAAAGTGGGAAATAGTGGATTTTAATAGAAATATCGCCGGCGATGCTCTTGGTGTGTTATCTTCAAACAAATGGATTTTATTATGTAGCCCTTTGTGAGAGCGAACGTCACGTTCCGTTCGGTCGTGAGTACTAAACTTGGAATGATCTTCCTTCTCCTCAGCAAAACTATTATATTTTTTCTTCTTCATCTGAAATACATTTTATTACTTCAAGGGTAGAAGAAAACGAGTTGACGACAAGAGTTCAGTGGAAGATAAAGTGGTATAACATAAACTCGATGATTTCAGAACAGATTTCTTCTAAAGGCTTATGTCTTAACATTAGATTTACTAAACTAAGTCAATTTTAAGCTTTTCAAATTACATTTCATAATTGTAGCAATCATACTTAAATCTATTCTATTTATTTCTTTTTTTTCAAATTTTCTTTAAGGAAAACTTCATTTTAAACAATTTAAAAAAATTGCAACAAAATTATTTTTGTTTGAACTGAAAATATTGATTAATATATTTCAATTAAATTAAATCCAACATTATTTCATGTTTAAACATCCATTAAATATGTAAATTAATGCAGTAGTTTTAGGTAATTATGTGAATTTAATTATAGAACGAGTTATAATAAAAATGTATATTAATATAAATATATGATAAATTGAAACTAATTATGAAATAATTTTAATTACTTGTACGGTTAATTATGAATCATATTACCGGTAATTAGTTAATTTGAAGCGTGGCAGTTTTCAATTAAAAAAAATAGTTAAATTTAAAGGAATTTAACGTTTATTGTAGTGAGATTTTATTAATTATTCAAAAGTGTGAAAATAATTGAAAAATTACCGAGATTTTCTTTTAGCAGTAAAAATTGGTTAACCGATAAATATTGTCAATATTTTTTATAATTGAAAATTTTCGTGTGTAAATAAAATTAACTACTCGTTTTTATGTGCAACAATAACGAATTATGTTTTATAAAAGTTTAATACATTTACAACGAAATAATGAACATATAATTCGAACCTTATTTCTTATCACTAAGACTTGTTCAAATTTTAGTACATATTGTTCTTGCAGAAGAAAAGGTTCGACACTCCTTGGTTTCACTATGAGAATGTACAAATTTCATTTGGTTTTTGTTAAAATTACGGAAATTACCGGTATTTTTGTCAAAATTTACCGTTAAATTCAGTAAATTGTACTTTTCTTCCATGTACAAATAAGATAATAAAGTACGTATCATCGAATGTTTGTTGCAAGGATCTACGTTAAGGTCTGAAGAACTATCGTATTGATTTATCTAAAAAACACAAAGTGAAATAGTGGTTTCCGTCGCTGTGTATCGTATATAATGGAATTGAATGTGTAATGGAAGAGGTCCAGTTCGATACAAATGTGATTGTACGATAGTGGAAAACGTGGAAAATCTGCTGGATTTTATCCGTTGCGTGTTCTAGTACATATATTTTTTTCATTCCTTCTCTTTTTCCCCTCTATGCGTGACCGTTCGCATTAAACGAGAAAAAAAAAATGTCACAAGGACGACCACACAACAAACGAGTATTCAATCCATGACAATCCCCAATTCCCTATTTATTTATCTTCCTTTTATTTTTCGGTTCCTCTTCGTCCTTATTTTTCTCTTCCCTTCGAAAACAGCAATCCCACAGACGCAAACATTTTCGTTTCGCAAAAAAAAAATACTGAAATAATTTAATTACATGACTAATTACGCTGCGCTCGGGAGGTTAATTAAATTTACGTTTTACCAGCGAAACGCACATTCGAAATTAAACTCACTCGGCGCATGTTATTAAATTGAAATTATGTAGATTTTACGTCTACTTCTGCCGCTTTTTTTTCTTCCCTCTTCCTATTCGTTACGGTTTTCCTCTCTATATAACGTGAATTTTCTAGGGAATGTATTTTCCGTGAAAGAGCGGAAATAGAAGGAAAAAAACGTCATTTCCCGTTGTTGTTTTCGTTCGCTTCCATTTTCTCAACGTCTCATTAGCCGTCCAACGTAATTCCGGCAACTCTATTCAACCTTAAAATTTGGTTAGTTTTCATCAAAAAATTACTTTTTTTGTATTTTAAATTAATGTTATAGGGCGACCAATAGCCGAATAGCCAATAACCAATAGGGCTATCGCTCATAGCAGCAGATTCACAGAGCATCTACTGAAGTTAACCTACAAGACGACAGCCAACCAACAAATTAAAAATCAAATCATCATAATATCAACCACGATCTTAAATTTACTTAATTTTCACATTGACGAACAGATTGTGAATAAAATTATACGACATAAAAAAATAATGTAATATACATTTTTTTAATTGGATTGAAATAAACCAATTTAGTAAATCTATATAATTCGAACACAAAGGACAAAATAAAATTCTAAACTCATTTAGATGCACGAGAATGATTATCCGTTTAGATCAGATAAATAAAATACTATCATTTGGTTCTGTTCCCATCCTTCAGTTTTGTTAACTTTATTTCAGCTCGCAATTCGTGATTCCATTAATAATTCGTTAAAAGTTGGGAATTCCTGCATTTATGCAATTCTGGATGAGGATGAGGAGGAGGAACGCGGCACGTCGGATTGTGCAGGGTAGAAATTATTCAAAACTTTTGGATGGTGCGCGATGTGCTGCCGATTAATGATCGCATTACTATGGTAGTCAGGGCTGGTAGCGGTGGCGCCCTCTTTTGTACGTCGAACAATTAATCTGTGCTCCTATTTTGGCCCGCTTTTATTATTTATTATTGTTGCCATTAATTACTGCGGCGTCAGCGAGGCGATTTAATTTATGAAACTCCGGGCATTTCGTTCGTCCTTCGACCGTTCAATGCAAGGATTTGCGGATAAAACGTCCGCCGCAGTAAAACTCATTATGCTCGGATTATCCACAATAATGTTGTGCTGCGACTTAGGCCATTCCATTATTAAAACAAAAGAATATCAATTTACTGCTTGTTGATGGATACGTTTGTTAAACATTGATTTTATTCTTTCTCCCAAAAAATATTTACAATACTTACATTAACATGTAATACAAAAACTATAGACTTTAAAACGTGTGCACATACATATTTTCATCATTTTCCTATAAGAAGCCCTTAAAATTGAAAAAATGATTTATTAAAACTATATAATTAAATATCTTGAAGTTTTGTCAATATTCTTGTAGTCAGTTGTAAAAGTTGAAAAAAGAAAACCAAAAATGTGTCTTTATGTTTTCTCGTATTTAATACAATTGGTAATTATATAAAATATAAATATACAAGCTTTAAAACTTGTCTAGATTCTAATTTCTAACATTCGATGATTGTCTGTAATAAAAAAAGAAAACTACTTGTAAAGCTTGTAAAACCTACTTCATTTAGTAATTATATTCAATATATTTCAACATACATATTTTCCTGTAATAAATTGTAAAAGTTGAAAATATAAAACGACTTCGAAAATAAGAATGTCTTAATTTTTTGTTATATTTCTCGAAAACCATAAATATAAAATTACTTCAATTGATAATGATATATAATATACAAGGTGGCGCAAAAGTAATGTCATAATTTGAATTGGCTGCCATTTTTGCAGATGGCGTCAAATGTCATTATGCTTTGACATTAGTTGTCAACAAGCCATGGAGCGATACACACCTCAAGAATGTGAATTTATTGTTAATGCTTATTTGACAAATTTTCAGTCTGTTGTTTTAACGCAACGTGAAAAAGCGATGAAGCCCATTTCCACTTAAGTGGTTATGTTAACAAACAAACTTTGCGTTTCTGGGGCATAGATAATCCACATGTAATGCAAGAAGATCCATTGCATCCTCTCAAAGTGACTGTTTTTGCGGAATTTTCAGTGCAAAAGCGATTGGTCTTTATTTTTTTTGAAGACGCCGATGGCGCCACCGTTACTGTAAATAGCGAGCGTTACATGCATATGCTAAACGAGTTTTTTTGCTGAAAGTTGCTGCATTGGGTCTCGATCATTGTTGGTTTCAACAGGACGGAGCAATTGCTCACAAATAATTACAAATATAAATTACTTCAATTGATAATAATGATATTTAATATAGATATACAGGCTGTGTTTAGACTCAAATTCCTGGCATTAAAAGTTTTCCTGTAAAAGTTGAAAATTGGAAACG